GGCGGCCGCCGCCAGCTCGCACATTTTCCATTGCACCTCTGGCAAATGCCTGCCTTTCACGCCAGGCACACAAAGAGCCCTCTCTCTCCAGCAGCCCGGTTACTCACAAACTGCTGAAGAGCTCCGTCAAGTCACTCCGCACCACATAGATCATGAAACCGCTCCTGAACGCCGTCGGAGGTTGTTCGCTCCTCATCCGCGGGCGACAGCCCTCGACTGTGCGCACTGAGCTCCCCCCTCCCCGCTTTCCTCACCCTCCCCTTCTTATAGACGTTTTTTCCTCTCCTAATATTAAGTTTGTTTTTTTTTTTTTAAAAGGCAAGCAACGCACTCTGAAAATGTAGGGGATAGGCTACAATCGTCCTATGTCCCCCCCCGCCGTCCCCGTCTGAAAGATCTCTCTGCTGAGCTGTGCCCGGTGAGACAGCAGCCTCGCTAATTTTCGAGGCATAAAAGCTAAAATGATGGGAGTAATTGGTGGGTGGAAGATCCTAAACCAAAGGGAAATGTATGGGCTTGGCGACCTCTGGATAACCCGGGTACCTTGGCACAAAAAGTGCAAAAATATTTACTCACCTTGAAGTTTATATTTTTTTAAGCCTTTTTATTTATTTTGCTTTTATTTCTTAAGCCATCTTTTGAGATGGTTCAAGCTCCCGTCCGAGGTCTAATTATAGTAAGCAGGAACAGGATGGAAGGGGAATGGGTTGATTCTGGGGAAAAAAAGAAAAAAAAAGAAAAAAAAAAAGAAACCCAAACGCCTGGATCTGGAAGGTGCTGGACAGAAAGGCTTTCTGTGACTCACACGCACTCTGAAAGGAAGATCTGAAAAACGCTTACAAGCCCCCTCTGACTAGTTTGAAAGCGATTCCAGCAATTAGGAATTAATTCGGCATGGTCAAAAGGCGATTTCACTGCAAGCTATATCAAGTTATCCAAACTTTTACAGAGTTCAAGTGGTGAAAATGGGCCGCTGGGGTGGAGGTAAGCTGCGGGAAAGAAAAACAAGGAGTGTTCAGAGAAGGAAGAAGAGGGGAAGGCACGGAGCAAGGGCTGGAGGAACGGGGAGCGCGCGTTGTGCTGAGGCGGGGCGGGGGTAGATAGGACACGCTCCTGTTTTTCTTTCGTTCAAATGGGAGAAAGTACTAAAAACGCGCTGGAGGTCCTAGGAAATAGAAAGACGAGTTTTAATTATCAAAAGGAAATCAAAGGGTTGCCCGCCGATGCTCGCTCACGGCAGGTACAGTAAGCG